AAAACTATATTGGGTAAAGATGAGCAGAGACGTTAATGATATGGTGTTAAAATGTGATATATATCAACGACGCAAGTACTTGATCACGACACCAGAAGGATTACTAAAACCATTGGCATTATAGGAAAAGGTTTGGGAAGAAGCAACGATGGATTTCATCGAAGGATTGCCACGGTCAGAAAGAATCACAGTGATCATGGTGGTCATGGACCGCCTGAGTAAGTATGCACATTTCATTCTCATACGACATCCCAACACTGTGATCTCGTTTGCAGTTGTGTTTGTCCGGGAAGTAGTCTGTTTGCACGAAGTACCGCAAACGATTCTTTCGGATAGAGATAAGGTGTTTCTCAACCACTTCTAAAAAGAGACATTCAAGTTGCAAAAGATGATCCTTAAGAGGAGAACCGCATATCATACCTAGATCAATTGATAGACAGAGGTGGTCAACAGAAATGTAGAAACATACCTACATTGTGTCATAGCTGATATGCCAAAACTTTGGGGCAAGTGGATTGCGCGGGTTGAATATTAGTATAATACTTCGTACCACACGCCGCAACACGGACCACCCCTCTCAAGATAATGCATGGGCGGGATCAATCTCACTTAATACATTATAGGCATAGCGCTACGCTCGTATCCAACGACGATCAGTACTTGGAGGAGTGGGACAGGACACTAGCAAAGCTCAATGGGCATCTTCTGAGGGCTCAACAAATCATGAAAACGAAAGCAAATGAACACGGAAGAGATGTGCAATTTGAACCAGAGAATATGTTCTACTTGAAGCTGAGACTTTATCGATAGAAGACATTTTCCAAAAGGAGGAATGAGAAACTTTCACTGAAATTCTTTGGGCCTTATGAGGTGATGGCACGCATCAAGGCAGTAGCCTACCATTTGAGGTTACCACCATCGTTTGCGCGACACCCGGTTTTCCATGTATCAAAGTTGAGACGTGAGTTCGGAGAACATACACCCTCATCTACACTACTGAGGACATTGACAAAGGACTTGGAGGTGATTCTGAAGTCATTAGATATCTAAAGGGTGCGTCGAGAAGTAGGAGCGAAGGAGGTATTGGTTAAATGAAAAAGGGTCTCAGACTATGAAGCAACATGAGAACCTTACAAAGTGATCCACATACAGTTTCAACCCTTCCACCTTGAGGACAACGTTTTTTTTTTTGGAGAGAAGTAGTGTTACGCCTATACAGAGGTTGGTTCAGGATAGACCGGCAGATTGCAACCCAGCCGGCCCACAAGCAGGCCGGCCTTTGTTCTGTGAAGAAGCGGAGAAGTCTAGTTGGGTCAAAGAAGAAGGAAAGGTGGGGGAGGGGTCCACTAGGGCCATAATAACATATTCAAGTAGGAGAAATTAGAGGAGATTTGGAGGGAAAGTGAGAAAAAAAAGTTTTCAAATGATATGGGAGGATTCTATTAAGAGAGGAACCTAGGGATTGTTTTCATTCATGCATGTATTTGGTGGTTGCTATGTTTTTTTTCTTTTGGTGGTGTTCCTTGCAACGTCTAGGGTTGTGGAAGAGCCGATCTACTTATCGAAAAGTAGATCACCATTGTATCTTTCTTATTTGCCTTTTTTTTTTTTTTTTTTTTTAAGAGCAGCCCTTGTAAGAGCAGCCCTTATTTGACTTGTTTCCACCTATATATCGTCGTTTCGCTATTGTTACTCGCTGATTTTGAGTCTAGAGAGTGTCAGATTTCAAAACCAGCCCCCTCAAGATGCTTTTCTTCAAACAAAGCATTCCATGTTGCCTTCGCATATACTACAACGACCAGCCTCAAGTAACAAAAACTCTTAACACCTTTCCGTGACACCTTTTCCTCGCAAAACCAAACTTCAGCCATACTAAAGAGCTAAAACAAGAAGTAACCGCCATAAGACTCCTCTTTACAGAAGTAACTCCACCTCTCAAACTTCAATGACATCAAATTATCATAAACAAGGACAACAAGTTATAAATGCCATCATCATTCACGATATTTTGTTCCTGTAAATGTCAATACTGTCTTGTCAAATATCATCTCTCATGCACACATCGCAATGAACATGATGCCCATTCTCATACTAAAGATCATAGGTCAGTACCAATACAATGTTAACTATGATTAAGCTGATCATTATCATTTTAAATTGCATAAATTATTTTTTATGATTATGAATATAATGATGCATGCCTTTCACATCATCAAGGTTTCAAAAGTAATCCTCTATAATATTCTTTAGTAATACTCTCACACATCTTCAAAGAAGAGTTGTCCCTTCGGTCCCACGAAATTTATTATGCAAATTCCATATATTCCTTTAGCGCCAAAAATCTTATAATACGTTCTAATTTAACAGCACATGTCAAAACTTATGAACATTTTATCTATGATAATGGCCGTATGGAGATGTTTATGATGATAACATCTCAAAGATATGAAGTAATCCCTGATAGTAGTTATAAGTATTTTTTTACTGTTTATTTTTTGTGTGGGGTGGGGGGTGAAGGGGGCAGAAGTTGAGGGGAGAGTAACATAGGTTACTGCCAAGTATACTATTTAACTGAAGTTAGTCTAAGATATTCCCGAATGTGCGCCTAAACATGTTATTGAGCATGAAATTATGTTCCTTGTGCATTTTGTTTAACATAGCATTAAGATATTTTTAGATGTATCAAATTTTGCAGTTGATCTTCTTCACTTCATATATTCTTGCTCCTAATCAGTCGTCACTACATTAGCAGCAGAATGTTAGTACAAAATGACTGAAATTTGTTTCAATCAATTGCATGGTTGCCGCTTTCATCAAATAATCTACTGGTGTAAGCTCCGCCTTCATTGCCTTACTTCAAATAAGAGTTCTTTACAGACAAATGAATTAATACAATCCAATAAAATAGGTATCATCATTCAGCCAGTATAGAACACTTATGACTACTTTCTTATAGAACGGTTATAAATTCAAACCAAACTTACAAAAGGGTAAATTGGATTTTAAAGCTTCTTATATTCAACTATTTTTATCCAAATTCAACTTTCACTTTATGTTTTATTAGAATAAAAGTTAATAAAGATGAGAATAATGTCATCATTATTTTAGGATAATAAGAAAAACGGTAATTATCATAGGAATTATTTTTCTTTGAAATTTGTATGGGCTTTTAGACTTGACTGATTAGATGAATAAATTATTTAAACATGTCAATGTTATTTATTTCTTCCTCTTTAATCCAAATTATGTGCTCATATCATTGTTTAAAAGGGTGTTTGAGTCGAGGCGAGCCTCGAACTGAGGCGCACAAAAAAAACCTCAAGAATTGAGCTTCAGTGCCACCAGTGAGGTTGGCACCTTTTTCATTTGAGACTCACACCTAGAGGTTTTATGTCTCGAGTCTTTTGAGGCATAACCCAAATCAAATTATGCAAAAAAATATTTATTATATAATATTTAATATATCGGATAAAATACTTCAAAAAGACCAGAAGATAATTTAAAATGATTATTTGATTATGTTATTAATTTATTAATTTATTTAAATTATATTGCATTTCAAATTGATTGATATGGTAAGAAGAAAATTATAGAGAAAAAAAATATTTGAAAGGTTTCAATAAGGAAGAATTAAATGATAATAAGCATTATGATTATTTCGAAGATGCGGAAAACAATGATAAGACCACTATGGATCTTGAACATGATAGAACATTTAAATTCTAAGTGAATATTTACCTAAAATCACATTCCAAACTTCTACTTTATATGAATTTTTAAGATTAAGATATGTATTTTATGTTTTTATGATAATAAACTAAATCAACTTATTAATGGTTTGTCATAATTATGAAATTATTTTAATTTTATGAGTTTTTTCTTTATTGAGGTTTATGTCTTGATCCGCCTCGAGGCTTACGCCTTGCTTCACTAAGGCGATTTGTCTTGATTCCCGATTTCACCTTTTTAAACTTTGGCTCATATCACTCCATATTGTGCATGTAGAGTGTACTCTGCCTCTTATTCCCTTTCTTTTTTTTATTTTCTTTTTTTATTTAAGATTACATGACATCAAGTGAGCTCATGGATAGTATGATATCTTAACAGAAGTGAGTGTCAACTTATCCACTTCTCAATACAACTAAACCTCATTTTGAGTTTAAAAATGGCAACCAAAGTAGTGTCATCTCACTGAAACTTAATTTGATTCAACTTTCTCTTAATGTTTATGATGAAAAAAAAAACAAAAAGAAGCTCTAATAGATTAGAAAAGTATATGATTTATCCCTTACTCTTCCAAAAAATCGCTTTTAGAAAACTTTTTAAGAAAGGATAACAGAAACTATAGCCGATAAAGGAATTTTTAAGAAAGCTTGCAAGCAAAAAGAACTAAGTAGACCCTATGCCCAAAGAAAAAATTGAGCTTTATTTATTAAAATAGAATGAGGATTTGTACAGGAGGAAAGCTAACACAACTAAATGGTATGGTGGCTGCACAAGCATTTTTTCCATAAGCATTTAGGCATTTATCGATGTGCACGTAGGGTATTCGAGTATTTCCAACAAAATTTGAAATCATGCTACTTAAGGTCTCAAATAGTGACAAGAGACAAATTAATCCTTCAAGCATGAAATTTAAGAAAATGAGAGCAGGTTTAAAATAGGCCAAAGCAATACAATTAGACGCATCCATCTTAAATGCATACTACTATGAAAGAAGTGAATATCAGCTTCTGTCTCATCCCTTCATACCATCTTAGGTGAGTCATCAAAAAAAGAATCAGATTGGTTCATAGAAGAAAAAAAGTGAAAAACATGGTAGAGCTATAAATAAAAAGGAAAAAAAATACAAGAAGAATCAAAGCAATAATAGCTTATATTCGTTAACAACTGTTATTTGCTACACTTCATCATTGAGTAATTTTAAATAATAATAATAGTAATAATAATAGATGGAATATTATGTCCATACGTTTAAACAATATTATGCTTTTTCGTACTTTCTTGAGGCATACCTCTATCCTTCCGCTGAGTGAAGGAATCCTGAATTGCCTTAAAGATCTCTGGGTTAAAAATGTAGACACCGCAATTTATGAGATCACTAACCTGCATAAGATAGCAAATAAAAACCGTGAAGCTCGGACGTTATAAAGCACCAAAAGCATACCGGAGAAGATCAGACCAATGGATGAAGTCGTGATGGGAAAAGGCTGGAGCAAATATATAGGACTCGTGCTTACAAAAGTCTCTGGTTTCTCTGTGTAATGCAGAAGCTCTTTTGTCACGGGATCAGCCACCAATTCACCAAATTGATTTGCAGATTCAGCTGAAACCTATGCAGAAAATTGAATAAATCCCACGAGTTTTCAAATGGCATGGTATAGCAATGAAAATGTTTGAGAAAGCAAATACAAAATTAAATTAGACTAATGCCTCTCAACCTTGATTACTAGTATTGTCCCCATTCCACCATAGTCTTTATGGGCATCTGCAAAACAGCAATAGAAAAGAACATTTTAAATAAGTTCCAAAACCAACCTATATATTTGCATTTTGCATTTCGCATTTTTACCATGAGGATCAAGATTCAAGTTAAGGCACTTAAATGATGAGCAAAAGTACAAGTGCTAAGAGAAATCATGATTATTGGTTGATAGCAATGCTGGCATGGGTAAATTTTAAATAAGAAACATATCAATTGCTGGACAAATTTAATCTAGTTCCAGCAGCGAGAAAGATTGCCAATTTTCTAGGTGAACAAAGTCAGCGCCAGCAGAGATGGGCACCCCATCAGGAAAACAACATTATTTGAATCCTATTAGAATGCCAGTTTTTATAAGAAAATACTTAAGTCGGAAAAAGTGCTGAGGCGCAGAATAACTTGCAAGGCTAACAAAGGTTAATTGAGGCGCTTACCAAGCATTTCTGGCAGTGGGAAGCTGCAGCAAACATCACAGTTCAGCAAAAATATATGTGACTGCCATACAAAAAAGGCATGAGAACGTGCTCAGCTCTTTCTTCATAATCATGGAAGACATTCCAATATGTAAAGTAAAAGTCAAGACACACAAAGCCAAACACTAAGAACAGGTGCCAACACTAAGAACACGTACAAAATCCAATTCCTAAGCAGAATAACAAATCAAGCGAACAAATTCATTCAGATAGTATAATTCTAACCGGATTTTCTTCCAATATATAATCTCTAAAACTGTACAGCCCTCCTGCTGAGCCAAGCGGCCTATCTTCTTTCAAATATCTGCCAAAAAAAAAAACACCACAAATCAAAATAAATAACATGGAAGAAGCGCATGCTCTAACAAATTCACAAAAAAAATCAACTGCACCTAACAGGAACTCTGAGCTCATTCGAAATAGCTGACACATAAAGAGCAAACTCCCGCTCCTCATAAAATCCAATGAGATAGACCTGAGCCAAGTTGGGAATCTGCAATGCTCGCAGCAGCTCCACAAATTAACCAACCAATAAATCATATATATCAAAACAATGGGATTCAGCGTTTACTCTTCTGCAAGCAGAGATGGGATGATGAACCATCGGCTGTCCCGCGATAGGAAACAATGGCTTCGGAACGTTGAAAGACAATGGCCGGAACCGCGTCCCTGAACCACAATCAAAGATTCGAGTCATCAATACCAGCAAACCGATAATCCATCGAGTATATGTATAATTCCCATCAATACCTTTCGTAGGGCCTCCAACCATAATCACCGCCACGATTCTCTCTTCAGAACTCCCCATTGCTCAGATCCCAAACGTTAAACCCTATTTCGAGAAGATTGGAAACTCACCGCATAGAAAACGATATCGAAAAACTTATGGGCTGTTTGGTAGCCGGCTTTAAGCAGGATTTATGCAGTATTTAAGCTAAATCCTGACAAACGGCAAAAAATGCCTCAGTAAATCCTGAGCTCCCGTAAATCCCAAAATGAAACCGATTGGCGATATATCCGGGATTTACTAAATCCTGTGATTCGGTGGATTTAAAATCCAGAACGAGCTGCGAGGAAGAATGGCGCGTACAAACTTACCTTCCTCAATGGTTGGTTTCTGGTAGCCGGGATCCGTCGTTTCCTTCCCAGCTAGCTCTAATGGCGACGGTATCGCGAAGGTTCGTTCACGGAGGCGAAGGTTTTGGGCGGCGTAGAAACAGCCCCTTGGATTAAAACCCTAGATTTCCAACTTTGGCGGAGAAAGCGTTGTTTAGGAGGAAGAAGACAACTGATGCGGGAGGGGAAGAGGCGGGAGAAAGTTATGAAAGTGCGCAGCAACTCCATTGGCCTTTTATGGGATCAGGGCACGGATGAGGGATGAGATGAATAGAAGGGGACGGGCTACAGATGTGGGCCCGGGCCTTAGAGGATCGTGTACGGTTACGATGTGGATCCTATGGACTGCCAAACGTGAGGACAAAAATTTATCAATTATATATTCGTGCTCTTACCATAAATTATTAACGACTAAATTTTAAGAGTTTAAAAAAGAAGCAATAAATTATACTTTAACATTAAATATATTTTTTTTTATTAAATGTTGTTTGGTTTGTGTTATGGTATGGCTCATATACCATATAGGGACAGACGCTGGAACGAAGCGGAGCAGAGCGGAGCGAAGCGGAAGAATCTGTCCAAATCAGGAAGTTACGTTATGTGGGTTGGGGGTGTTGGGTCAACGTCTCGCTATACGATACATGAGTAATTTGGGAATTACATATTGTACTGTAGGGTTTACTCTAGGATTATAAATAGAACTGTTTGCAATCCTAGGTCCTCGAGAGAGTTGAATTTTGTATTCTGTATTCTTTTCTGAATATTGAAAAGGAGGTCGCCGCTCTGCTCCCGAGAATGTAGGCATCTTTGTCGAACCTCGTTAAATCTCTGTGTTCTTCTGGATTTGTGTCGTTCTTGTTTTTCTTCGCCCTAATTTTCCCAACAGTGTTGGGTCAACGTCTCGCTATACGATACATGAGTAATTTGGGAATTACATATTGTACTGTAGGGTTTACTCTAATATTATAAATAGAACTGTTTGCAATCATAGGTCCTCGAGAGAGTTGAATTTTGTATTCTGTATTATTTTCTGAATATTGAAAAGGAGGTCGCCGCTCTGCTCCCGAGGATGTAGGCATCTTTGCCGAACCTCATTAAATCTCTGTGTTCTTCTGGATTTGTGTCGTTATTATTGTTTTTCTTCGCCCTTATTTTCTCAACAAGTGGTATCAAAGCTCAGGTTCGAGGGCAGGGAAAAAAACTGCGGCGACGCAGGAAGTAAGAAGAACGATTTAGGGATTTTGGAAGGAGAAGTTTCGGGATCTGCGTGGCTTTGATTCGAAATCGAGGTATTCGGCCCACGACGTAAATTTGAAGGAGGAGTTCCTGCGAAGGCCAGGTCTCCGGCGAAGGTTTTGCGTGGGGCGCGGAAAGGATGTCCGCGAATTTGCGCGCACGACAGAGATTTCTGCAAACAAGCTCTTGGAAGTTGCGATCGGTACAACAGTGGTTCCGATCCAGAGATTCGCGGCCAGAAAAAGGAAGGTTCACGCGGCACGCGATTCGCGGTGCGAAAGGCTGCTGGGGAGTTGTCCGGCGTAGGAAGGAGCGGAGGATCGCTGCTATAGGGACGCACTATTCCCGCAGGAGGCGGCAGGCTAAAGGAAGGGTTCGCGTTGTTGTGGGAGTGACGTTCTTGCCTCGGTTTCGCGAACCAGAAAGTAAGATCGCGGCGTTCCGCGGAAGGAACAAACTTGCCGAGCACTGTTCCTGTTCGTGGATCGCGAAGCTCGCAGGAAGGGAACAGTGCTTGGGCGGAATAGGCGGGATCCAGAAAAGGGAAGGAGCGAAGGGCAACAAATTAATTTCGAAACTTTCCTTTGCTGAAGAATATTCCATATTCTTTGCCGTTGTTCAAATATTCAAGAAGGAATATTCTGGCTGTCCTTGAGGAGTTAATTAAAAAGGAATTTCCTGCGGTGTTAATTAAGAAGGAATTTCTTGTGGAGTTAATTAAGAAGGAAATTACTTGTTACTGGGAAAGTTAATAAAGCAAAGTTTAACTAAGAAAATTTCTTAATTAATCTCTAAAAGGAAAGTATTTAATCAAGGGAACACTGTTCTGGTCCGTGAAGAAGGCATTTCTGAGAAACTTAATTAAGAAAATTCCTTAATTAAGGGAAAAGATTTTCTTTTTTTTTTAAAAAAAAGGAGGTTTAAGCAAGGATTTTTTGCAGAGGATTTTTTTTTTGCAGAAAAGTTTTTGTTGCAGGATCAAAATTGTTCGCAAGGCGGACGGACTCGCGGGAACGAACAGGTGCGAAGCAGTTCGGATAAA